CACACACAAGTCTTCCCCAAGCACCTCGCCTCTCTTAAACCCTAGCTATCTCAACATTCCTGTCGTCACTATCACTCATCCACAAAGGAAGAAGGCGGATAGGGGAAAGTAGGAGATCATCAAGGACACTAGATTTTGCCACAAAATTGCCCCTATCATCGGATCTTGCAGCCATGCCCTTGACACAACATTCCACCACCTCATAAACACTGATCGATGCTGCTCAGAAGGGGATGAGTTCATCATGTTTTTTGGGTGGGGCAGGGGGGGTAGGTGTATCCCTAAATCTCATAAAATATATCTGGAATAAGATGTACTTGTTTCACCTACTCTTTAACCAAACATTAGAGAGAAGAGGATTGCGCTGTCCCATCTAACCCCATTGTTAAGGAGCATTTTGCCTTCACTTATGAAAGGGATGGGATGGATCCATTTCAGGTTTTTAGGATGTGATGGTCCCTGTGTTTGGTTGAAGGGGATAGGATCACCTCCGCTCCATGTTTGATCGAGGATGTTGAAAAGTGGGATGAGACACTTAGCACATGGGGCCCTCACGTCAGTCCCTTTCTTTCTTGTTCTTTTTCTTCTTTTGTTTCTTTCTTCTTCCTTTTTCTTTCTTAGCGGACAGTATGGTCGTGACCACAATGATCGGTAGCTCGAGATCTGCCAACACCCAATTGAGCTCTTGGAGGTCCGCATGCATCACGACCAATGCCCTCGTGAAACTCCACTCCCTTTGGTGGCCGGTTTGCCTCAGAGCTCACCACCGCATACGTGTCTCCTCTTCTTCCTACATGTCCATCCCACTATGTCCCACCAATTTGGGGGGAAGAGGTTGTCCCTGAATTCGAGAGAATATTTCTTTGCGGGGATCATCCCATCTCCATGTCTCCCAACCAAACACTAGAATGAAAGGGGCCACACAACTAACAACGGAGAAAAAATGCAATGGCTACTGCCACTGCAAACTAAGACTGCACACATTCGTAGCCATCCAATTTTGCAGCCAATGGTCCACATACGATTGCTTCTCCTCACAGTACTTCACAGTTGTTTCAAGAACAGTGATAAACAGTGTTGTTACTATTGTGAACAGTGACGATTAGCGCTTCTCCTCATAGCCCGAGATTGCTTAATGTGCTTTGCAACAAGAGATGGCAATGGGACCAGATCCTCGATTCTCCATAGAGAAAATCCTCTATTAGGGGATGAGAATAGAGGCAATTTAATCCCTACATAGACTAAAATGGGGAAAATTTGTCCCTATCAGAATCGTGGGCGACGGGGATTAGGAACGATCTTAGTCCTTGTTCCTCGTCTACCCGTCCTATGAACTTGCTCTTACTCTAAATTGGCCTCTTGACATGTTGAAATCCAACAAAATATCTAGTATAAATAGCAAACTAAACTCTGAAGTAGATATCTTTTGTAATATGAAATGTTGCTTGTTCAATTTATATTGATTTGGTACTATGAATTTGCTTTTGCTCTCCAAATATTGCGTTTTGTAATGGGAACGAGTCCTTGCGGTGATAAATTCCATGTGTGGGAATGTGGACGGAATTTTTTTCTTGTCGCAGAGAAGAGATGGGAAGTTATCTCCGGACGAAAAATTCCCGGTCAACATTTGCCACTGCACCGGATCCGTGTCGCACAACTAAACACTACTCCCTCCATTCCAAAATGCATGACGTTTTAAACTTTTAGACATCTTATTTGATCGTTCGTCTTATTCAAAATTTTTATATAAATATTATTTATTTTGCTATGACTTATTTTATCATTAGAGATACTTTAATAATAACTTATTTATTTTGTTATTTGCAAAAAAACTGAATAAGATGAGTGGTCAAACATGATATCTAAAAGTCAAAAGCATCATCGGTAGTACGTAGACGGACCAAGGTTAAGGCCCTGTTTGGATACAAGTATTTTGGAGTTTTAGAAAAATACCATGTTTTTGTGAAATACTTTGGGTCTAGAGTGCCGTGAAGTGTTTGGGTGCAACAAACTTTATGGTTTTGAATACCATAGTTTTGCTGAAATTGTAGTCTTTTTGAAATTTTAAATACTCCACTCTAGACCTCTTTTTCTAACGGTAATGTTCTCTACCAAGCGTCCATCCGGCCGGACACGCGCATTCGCTGGGCCTGCAGACCATGTTTGACCGACCCATTATTAAAAAAAATACGGACGCTACCACAGGGATGGAACTGCCTCGTGCTGCGTGTCCCTGATCCTCACGCCTGCGCCTCACACCTCATGCCGGACCCACCTCATGCCATGCACCTCGAACATGCCTCGCGCCGCGCGCTGCCCACACCTCGTGCCTCATGTAGCGCGCCGCCCACGCCTCACGTTGCGTTCCCCCACGCCCACGTCAATGAGTCTTCATTGGGTAGCAGCAAGTAGATGAGCACATGTTGCAACCATATGTTTCATGCGTTTTAGATGTATGTTGCACGTTTTATCTGAATGTTGCAAAAGTAGATCTGGTGTTGTATATGTTGCAATGGCTATACACGTGTGTTTCAAGTATATGTTTTAAATGTTTCAGCTGTTTCAAACATATGTTGCAAGTGTTTCATCTGGATGTTGCATATATTGTAGTGGCTATACACGTATGTTGCAAGTTTGTTTTTCAAATGTTTTAGTTGTTTCGTCTAGATGTTGCATGTTTTCATCTAGATATTGCGTATGTTGCAGTGGCTATACACGTATGTTGCAAGTGTATGCTTCAAATGTTTCACCTATTTTAGACGCGTAGATGTTTCACTTGTTGGCCTCGTTCGCTGGTATGAAACTTGGCTGAAAACACTGTTCCGGGCGAATTGTGTGAGAGAAAAACACTGTTCTGGCTAAAAAAAAAAGCCGAACAAGCCGAATATGGAGTAAGCCGAACAAGGCCGTTGCAGTGGTTATACGCATATGTTGCAAATGTATGTTTCAATTGCTTCACATGGCTTTAGTATGTTGCAGCAGTTGGTGCTCCCCACGTGCTCTGAGTCGTGGGCACGCACAGGCTACACGCACCCATCTAGCGCTGTCTATCTCTGTCATGCGGGCCAGCTCCAATATTCGAACGTGCACGCAACGAGCGGTCAGTGCCCAAATGGGCGAGCACTCCTTGGTCAAACTGCATGCACGCATACAAAGCGGGCCAGCACCCAACGGACGTAGAACCAGGTGCCCCTGCACCACCATGCTTGGTCTCCCACGGTGGAGCAAGCAGCTGGGGTCAACACGGTACACGCGCTATGCTCCTACCCTCTCTCTCGTACGTAGCTGGGCGGACCCCACACACATGCTCTCCCGTGCAGGAGCAACAACACACGTGGACCCAACAGCAGCAACAGGCACGGGGCGCGAAGCACGCGAGCAGGCGCAACAGCATGCTCGGGACGCAACAAGCCAGCAAGCGCAGCAGTAGCAGCAGTAGCAGCACGCGCGGACCCAGCAGCAGCAGGCGCGTGGCGCGAAACACACAGACAGGCGTAGCAGCAGCATGCTCGGGGCGTAGTAAGCCAGTAGGGACAGCAGCAGGTGTGAGGCCACGGGCAGACGCAGCAAGCCGGCAGGCATGGCAGCAGCACGCGGGAGCACGGGACGTTTGGGCACTAGCATAGTTCTTTATCTAAACCTCGATTTTACACATCAATAGTTATAAAACTATAATTTCTTGATACTTATGGTTTTTTAATAGGATTTTTTTATTCTCACCATTGCAATTTTCCAACTTTTAAATAATGCCATTACAATTCACCTTATTGGGAACTTGTTATTGCAATTCCGTTTCTTCCACAACCATGCCTTGATCTATGTCTGGAGCATACCTGGGTCCAGTTACAGGCGACGTATTCCCGTATGTCCACGTATTGCCTCTGGTTACGAGGATAAGGCAGGACCGGCTGCGCCCGCCTTCGTCTTCTCAAGCGTCAGCCCACACCGGATTCTTCTCAGGCCCTGTGCCGCCGCAAAGGTAAGGAGGATCCATGCCTCCACCATCTCTGCCATCGGCGTCTGCTACGGCGTGCAGTTCGCGGTCATGATCCCGACGACGTCCGAGCTGTTCGGCCTCAACAACTTCGGCCTCTTCTACAACCTCATGGCCGTGGCCAACCCGCTGGGCGTGGTGCTCTTCTCCGAAGAGCTCGCGGGGCGGCTGTACGATGGGGAGGCCACGAGGCAGCAGCACGGACGCACCGGAGGCTCCCCACACGCGTGCCTTGGGGCGGACTGCTTCATGATCGCGTTCTTTGGGCTAGCCGGGTGCTGCGCGATGGGGACGGCGGTGAGCTTGGTCCTGGCGGCGAGGATACGGTCCGTGTACCGATCCTTGTACGCCGGCGGGTCATTCAGGCTGCCGAACAGCTCCCAGCGGCACTGAGACTTTTTTGAAGCGCGTTTGTTGGTGGTACACATGACATGATTTAGTCAAGTCTGGTGTTTTGGAACCGGTGCTTCGGTTGAAGCTTGTGCTGTTGTGCACTGAGAAGAATCCGGTGCGGGCTGACGCTTGAGAAGACGAAGGCGGGCGCAGCCGGTCCTGCCTTATCCTCGTAACCAAGGGCAATACAGGGACACACGGGAATATGTCGCCTGCAACTGGGCCCGTCTACGCTCTAGACGTAGATCAGGGCTTGGTTGGGGGGGAGAAACATAATTGCAATTGTAATGGTGTTTTTGAAAAGTTAATACAAAAATCCTTTTTAATACTATATAAACCCATATCAGCCGGACTTATCAGATATGATACAATATTTTTTCTCTCACGCCAAACAACATCAGCCGGATTTATCGAAAAAAAAAACGAACCAGTTAACCGGAACGTCCCAACAGGCCTAAATAGGATCCAACAGGCCTGCCGAGGCCCATCCGGCCGGCACAGCCCCACGAGGCCGCGACGTCCCCTCACCATTTCTCCCTCTCGCTTATTATTATCGCCTCCCCAAAACCACTCATCATCCTCTGCCTCCGTCCACTCCCGGCGCCGTGCCTCCATGGCCACCGCCACGGCGACCCCGCCGCAATGCTGGCGAGGACTCCCCGCCTCGGCGCGGGCACCTCCACCTCTCTCCTCTCCCCCCCGGCCGCGCCCCGTAGCTGCTCCCTTTTATCCCCTCAGACGTCGCATCGCCACTGCTACAGCCAGAGGAAGGCGAGCCGCACTGGCCTGCTCCCCCAGGTACCGAAATCCCAGCAGATCAAACATACCTCCTGGTTCCAAGCGCCGTGCAACCACACTTGTGGCGTCCTCTTGTTGGATTTTTGTTTAGGTTACTTCTGTGTGCTGTCCTCGTGCAGGTGCACGCTGGAAACGGCCGGCCCTGGCTTCGACCCTCTGGGGATCTACGAGGAGGGGTCTGATTCGCCGTCGCGGTCTCCCCTGTCGACCTTCTTTGGTATACTGGCGCCGGTGTTTGGGAGCTCCAGCGGCGGTGGTGCCAGGAGGGAGAAGGCGTCCTATGGCCGAGGAGCAGCAGGTTGCCAATTCAGAGCTATTTCCTTCGCTTTTATCAGGACTAACACTTAGGAACGATTTTGATGGGTTATGCAATAATGATATGTTATCGCACAAGTTAGTTTGGTTTAGTGGTATGCTTCATTAGGTTATATACTAGTACCCCCTCATCCCAAAATAACTGATGTTTTATTTTTGTCCTAAGTCAAAGCATTTCAAGTTTGACCAAATTTATACAAAAGAATATCAATGTTTAAGATACCAACTAAGTATTGTTAGATTTACCATGAAATATGTTTTCATATTGTATATATTTGGTGTCATAAATATTGATGTTCTTTTCTATAAATTTAGTCAAACTTAAAATGGTTTGACTTAAGACAAACCTAAAACATCAGTTTTTTTGGGACGGAGGTAGTAAATTTTTAAGTGAATCTTAGTGAAGCAAAACAGTGGTGCTATGCACTTGTGTCAAAGTGTTACAAAATCATCTAATCTAACTAGTGTTGTGGACAGATGAAGGAGAAACGTACTTCCATGTTAGTTAAGGAAATAGCGCAGTTTAAAGCAAAGATGATCTATTTGGGCTTGACAAGCCCAAATAACCTCAACACCCTTGAAAACAAAAGTTAGAACCCATATATTGCATCAATTTGGATCTGGTTCATGACAATTTTCTTAAAATACCAACATTCTTTTGCCTAATCAATAATGTGTCTCATATCATGCTTAAATTTTACAATTTTCTTCAAATTTATCTGCTCTAGCATCTTGGCACTGCCTCTTTGACTGCTATTTTTTCAAGTTTTTAACAGCTAAGATCAGTTCTGGGCTTCTGGCGATGGATTTGCTGGATCCACTTTCTTTAGCCAACCAGTCTTTGCTGTTTAAAATGTGTCTCAATCCAAGTACCTTATCTTTTGAACAGCTGCAATTGAGGATAGCTCCATTGACATTGGTGACTTCTTCAAGGGCCCTCTACCTGGGAAGTTCCTGAAGCTCCTTGGTTTTTTGGCCTTGTCTCGGCTTGGTGTGTATATACCCTTGGGTGGGGTCAACCGAGAAGCTTTTGCTGGGAACCTTGACCAGAACAGCCTGCTGGGCACTTTAGATTCTTTCTCTGGTGGAGGTATTGGCCGGCTTGGAATTTGCTCCCTTGGCATTGTACCATTTATCAATGCACAGATTGTGTTTCAACTCCTTGCACAACTCTACCCAAAATTGCAAGACCTTCAGCGGAAAGAAGGGGAAGCAGGAAGAAAGAAGGTTCTTCAGTATACAAGATATGCTTCGGTTGGATTTGCAATTGTTCAGGTTAGGTTCCTTGAAATATTTGAGAAGTGGATTTTTTATGCAAAGATGACTTAACAGTGAGAACCTTAGATTTTTCTATATTATGATATTGGTTCAGTAATGAAACTTCCTTGAACTTTGTTTTAAATGTGAGGTGACTCCAGCAACTGATTGAAAAGTTGAAATGTCAAGAGCACTATAGGATGCTTGAAGTTCCTTGTAGATAGCCTGGCACCAGTGAGCAGAACTCTGTCTAAACCTCCATAGACTTGCACTTTTTACATGCAAAACTAAACTGACTTATACCTGGGAAAATGCTATGACTTTTATACAAGTGTGACATAGCTCCAGTAGGTCAAACTAGCTGGCATAACATAGAAGATAGGCTGGAACTTGTTTACAGATGCTAACATTAATATGCTTTGGAAAATTACCTGTATTTTGATTAAGAAAAGAAGTAAGATTATAGCATACACAGTTAACGTTTTGCTTGTCCTGTCAGTAATTTTTTGTCTGTAATGCTGTGTCTAAATCATGTTGTTATAAATAAATATGATACTGTCCGGGTTTTTTTACTGCATGTCTTGTTAGTACGCATTTGTTGTGGCACAGTGCGATCATTTATGATGTTATTTTACCTTGAATGCAAGTTCATTGTTTTATTTATATATGGTGGGGTTGTAAAAAATATCGTTATTTATTTTTAGGCCATTGGACAAGTTCTTTATCTCCGTCCTTATGTGAATGACTTCAGCACAGAATGGGTTCTAACATCTGTGACATTATTGACACTTGGATCAGTCTTTACTACTTTTATTGGTGAAAGAATATCTGATCTGAAACTTGGAAATGGAACATCCCTTCTTATATTTACAAGTATAATATCATATTTGCCTGCGTCATTCGGGAGGACAGTTGTGCAGGCATTTCAAGATGGGAATTATGTTGGACTTCTCACAATCATATTGTCATTCTTTCTATTAGTCCTTGGGATTGTCTATGTCCAAGTAAGCAAATATTCATTTCAAGGTATATTTACAGACTTTCTTTCAATGTTCTAACTGCCTGGGGATTTCGATTTCAGGAAGCTGAGCGCAAAATACCCCTCAACTATGCTTCTCGTTACAGCAGTCGAACTGGGGGACTTCAGCGATCTGCATATCTACCATTTAAGGTTTCATACTAAATATACTTTTATTTGAGTCATGATGTTATGGACAAGGATCAAGAGATGCAAGAATGGAGGGGGGAGGTTAGGAGAACAGGAGAGGGCATGGGTACACATGGTACCACGGGTTGAGTGGGAGAGCAAGGAGATAGAGGGAAATCCCATCGATTTTGCTTAACCTTTACTGATAGCCCTCCCCCTCTGTATATGGAGGAGGTTACTTATCCCGCCAACTACCTAGATTGTATCTTAGGCACAATCCAATATAGTTACAGTCATATCTCAATGATCCTAATTATAAAAGGAAATACATGAATAGTGGATACTCGTGGGCCCTACATGGAGCCCATGTGTCCAACCTTCTGGGCCAGCACTTATACTGCCGGCCAATCATGACACATAACTTTCAATATATTTTGCATGTTAAAGTGAATTTCCATTTGAAATTTTGGCACTTCTGATCTGAAATACCAGTGTTTCCAAACTATCATCAGCTTAAATTTTATTAACTTTGTGGTGAAGTGTAAATTTGCTTTGAGTTTTACATCATATGCTGAACAAGATTAGACCTAAAACCTCATATTGAAACTATGTGTTATTCGCAAGCATGGTGTAGCTTGTAGTGGAGCTTATAAGCTTTCATTTTAGAGGTTTGCATTTCAACATTAATGTTTATATTATATTATACTTTATTGTTGTACATACTGAATTCTGTGTGAGCTGTTGTTGGGGCTATATGATATCTGAGAAGACAGATGCCATATGTATGAAACAGGACTAGATCAGTTCACGCAAATGTTCTTGTAGATTTGACCATGATGATTTGGAGCCTGTTAGGGTCCTCATAAATAGCATGTTTGTCAGCAATAAAAAAACGTTTATTTTGTTCCTAGGCTCGTAACCTTTGTTCTATCTTTCAAACTCGTCATAATCAACTTGATTTTAACTTCTTTTTGTGCAACCTTATAAAATACCAAAGGATGTATTAATTACTTCTATACCGTTATGAGCAGGTCAACAGTTCTGGCGTCATGCCTATCATATTTTCTACATCTTCACTGGCTTTGCCTGGTACTTTGGCACGGTTCGCTGGCTTAGACTTTCTTAAGAAGGCTGCCATAGCCCTTAATCCAGGAGGTAAACTGTCTTGATTTCTAGTTAATTGAAATTGCTGCATTTTTCAGGAGAATACCAAGCTCATGAATTACTTGTTCACAAACTAAGCCCAATTTTAATTTTCTGCTGTAGGTGCTCTGTATCTTCCAACTAATGTATTGCTTATAGCCTTCTTCAATTATTATTACACGTTTCTCCAATTGGATCCTGATGATCTTAGTGAGCAATTGAAGCGGCAAGGCGCTTCGATACCGCTTGTGAGGCCAGGAAAAAGTACAGCTGCTTATATTAAAACAGTGAGTTCTGAGACTTCCATTAAAGTAGATGCTTTTCTTCAATTCTGATACACATGTTTCAACTACTTACCTTATTGTTGTAAAATGTGGAAGCTGTCTATATGCAACTTTATGACATGTTCCCCTCAACAAAAAAGAACTTTTGGGATATACAAAATCCTACCCAGTAGGATTGGGAAATTGTTGGTGGGATCCTGTGACAAGTTTGGAAAACTGATAAAGTGGAAAATGATTATTGTTTTCCCAAAGAATCTTTTGACCCATGGAGTGGAGTTTGTGCTTTTGCAAATTTGAGGAAGTGTAGTTGAAAGATATAATTTTTTGCAAAAGACGTGGGCTGGGTGGTGTATATTCTCAGATACAAAGATGTCATCACATCTAACTGGCATGCCCACTAACTCATGTATTGCATTTGAAAGGTTTATGTAAGGTTAGTTGATTTTACAGAAGTGTTGTGTGAGAATGATGGTTTGTTTTTTACAATGATAGATATTGCTGCTAGATAGGTTTTCTCTGTTCTTGCAGCTGGGAACTGCTTGCAAATGATGTTTTCACTTATGTGTTTCGTTGCAATATCTTAACTATTGTGGAACCTGGCCATATTTTTAAAAGCAATTGATAATTTTAAAAAGCAACATGGAGTGTCCTACATTCTGTCCATAACGGCTTGGTTGGATATAAGTCTGTGACTTTGCCAACTCCCTTTATCTTATATTTTATTGAGACAATTATGTCATTGCAGGTTCTAAGTCGCATATCTGTCCTGGGATCTGCATTTCTGGCTGTGCTAGCTGCTGGACCATCTGTAGTTGAACAGATAAGTCACTTGACAGCATTCCGGGGATTTGCTGGGACTTCAGTGCTTATCCTTGTTGGATGTGCAACAGACACAGCTCGGAAAGTTCAAGCAGAAATAATTTCCCAGAAATATAAGAATATTGAGTTCTATGATGTCAACCGTTTTGACCAATAGTTGATCTCACTGGTCATTCTTTTCAACCTGTACTTAGATTTCTAATTGTGTAATTGGATATTGGATCCGTAAGGCCATAACTAAGCATTTTCTTATTGTTCACCTGGATCTTAATTTTTCTACTGTGTATAGCACTTAAATCTATACTTAAGGTACATAAATCATTCATCTGTACACTAACATGTCAGAGCACTCAAGTCTTAAAGCTATGAATGCTCATTGTTATTCACAATCTTGTTGCTGATGATGTAACATATATATTGTCCTTCAGAAAAAGGAGCTTAAATGACGATTCCCTTCCATATTTATTTTGTTTAACTTTATTAGATCATCTGAAGAACTGGCTGAATGGTCATGATTTCTATGAGGCAAGGTGAGATGTACTAGTTAAATAGGGCTGGAGAGTTGAACTCAGCTGTTTCATTTTGTACACCACTGTGAACAAGCACAACTCATTTTCTCATCTTATGTGCGTAGTTTCTCTTTTTTTTTCATGTTTTTATCTTGTGGTTTTATTATTATGTGACTAAGTTCTGCTTTTTTTCTCCCCAATATCTAGCTTTGACTCGTGCAAATAGATCAATATGTTTTCATTGATCTTGCACCTGAAGTTGGCACATTTGATTAAATTGTTTTGGTGTCTGCAATATTCATTTCCCTGAACCATTAGTTCATCATTCAAGCATTATGTCAACATCTTTAACAATAAAAAATGCAAAAATGGAAGAGGGTTATGAAAATTTAGGAGCCTTAGCTGTTACACAGAGAGTGAGACCATCATTTGTTTGATTCACAAGTCTCTTCAACCTCTTTTGACTTTATGAATGCATGTTATGTACTATTCTTAGACATATCTGCAGAGAAAAGTGGCTGACCATTCTGTGTTTTTTTTCTTTCTAAAAGTTTTAAGGCTATTTGAGAAGTGGCTGTGGACCTGTTCATGGGCTGTTCATCTTAGCTTTTCTTTTCTATCTTAAGCCTGGCCTGAGCTGTGTTCTGGATCTGTCAGTGTTAGGATTAATCTTGTCATATAGGCATATTAGTGTTAAACATGCTTGTATGAGCCTAGATGACTTCTGGATGAGAGCTACATGAAGACAATAGCTCAAGTTTCCTGTACTAGCTAGTTGTTAGTTGAGTGAGTCAACTTGAAGTTTACCACTGCAAGAAGCAAGCTGCTGCGGTGAAAATGGAGCAAAATTGATTTTTACTTAGCTAGCAAGTAGGGTTTGAGCTGTGTACTATTAGGCTGGTTCCTGTAGCAGTAGTGTAGTAACCGACCTGAAAGTCCTATAAAAGGGGCAACAACTCTCCTGTGTACAAGAGAGTTTGAGACATATACTCCCTCCGTTCCAAATTATAAGACGTTTTGACTTTTGTAGATACATTGCTTTTGCTATGTACTTAGATATACACTATGTCTAGATACATGATAAAAGAAATGTACCTAGAAAAGCCAAAACATCTTATAATTTGGAACGGAGGGAGTAGAAGATAGGGCTTGGTTGTGAAGATCAAGCTAGTGTGTATGAGTAGCTTGGTTGTGACGATCAAGCAAGATGTGTAAGCTTGTAGTATGAAGCTATAAGACCAGTATAGTACAAACTTGTGTTACTAGCTACCTGTGTTATTGAAAGAGAGAATCAAAGTGATTTTGTTTCCAACTGTCAGATCGTATTGAGAACACTGTATTATGATTTGTTCACACATCTGTGCATAATTACATATATCAGAGTCAAGTCACTATATATTGAAATTAGATAAATATTCTCTTTGGAAAGATTTTTTTTTTAATATTTCGCATCCGGTAATGCTTGGGCAAGCTTGATGACCCTTGAAGGTTCAGCCTTTGAGGCCCAACCTAAAGTTTTGCATGACCTGGTTTTGGAACAGATCTTATAAACTGACCCTCCTTGTGCCAGAAAGAACCAGCTGAGACACAATGCCTCTTTTATGTGGTGGCCATGGACCAATGAGAAGAATGATTCCCACATACGCTTAAAACTAAAAATTTTGCTGTAGGTGCTTTGAATGCAGCATCCTGAATGTGTTTTTTCCACAAAAAATTCAAGCCTAAGATTTGGAGGTGACTTCTTGAGTTCTTTCACTTAGTACTTATATTCTGATGGTCGTTAATAATGGTTGGCTGGAACCATGGGGCATTTTATTTTAGCAACTCCTGCTGCAGAAATTTCATGATTGTAGTATGGAGAATTAAACTAATTTGTCAGTGGCTCCTGCTATTTATCCTGGACCTTTATTGTTGTTGTCCTTGAATGATCGCAAGCATTTCTTTGACTGCCTCACCCTCAGGTATACTGTAGGTGCCCTCTGCATGGTGGAAAGAGGTCATGTGCACCCAGATGGCATCTTCTAGTTGCTGACCCATTTCTGAGAAGAGCAGCACCGGAGATTCAAGTTGACATTTGACAGGGGCATGCCTCTTTTCATCAATTAATTGTGCCACAGGATATATTTGATGTTTGTCACTATTGTTTTGCTGTCTCATTATTAAAACATGAGAACAAGCAAAACCTTTGGTATCACTACAGAGTGTATTAACACTAACTAGGAAGTTGCTCACATGTCAGACAAGACTATAAGACATAAAGTGCTATTTTATTTTCTGATGAAGGTCTGCTGCTAATTGGATCATAGAAATCGGAACTGAGATGTATATTTATCAGGTAACCTATCATCTTTCAGTCTCCATTTCTGTTTGCTGTATTTAGAATTTATAGAAGATACGTCATCTTATGAAAATACCTGGAGTTATCTTGCCCTTTTCCACATGTACTCTGGAGGATAAGCGAGTTCTGAGTACAGGCAACACATGTGTGGGTCGAGTCTAGAGAGAAATGATGACAGCATCAGGCTGAAGATTTCACTCAAATCAATTTTATTTTGTGCATATTTCTCTCCTATGTGGGGGGAAGAGTGTTTCAGCATCTAGGGACACTGGGTAAATCCAGTTTAGTTGACATGCTAATTGCTAGCTAACTTCTGATTGTGTGCGCAACCTTGTTTTCATTGTGTTACACATATGGAACCTTGGCCTAGATGTCTTTCTTGTCTTCTTTGCAGGTTCTGTTTTTAAGGATTTGTTTAATCCACAAGTGTCATATTTTTGTTGCTATTTGCTACCTCTGAGTGGGACTTAATCATTTACGCGGGAGTTAAATTTCAAAAACCTACAACTATTGTGACATATCACACATGTATCAAGTAAGCATAACTTCTGGATCCTATTTCAAATCCCGACAACTATTTTTACATATGTACCAAAAAGCTAGTATATCTTTGTGACCACATGACAATGTGGCCCCACATGTTATCCTCATGGCATGCAACATGGTTCCATGAGGATGACATGTGGGACCACATTGTCATCTGGTCACATAGTTGTAGCTTTTTGAGACTGTCAAAATTGTAGTCCTTTTGAAATAGGCCACTGTAGTTTTTTTTTATACACATGCTAAATTAGTTTTAGGTTTTTGAAATTTACTCTTTATGCTGGTTCAGATGATACCACAACAATAGAAGCAACTTTTGGCGCTACCCTTGAATCTGGGCTTTCCAAGCTTTTTAAGTTTTGACTGTCAATATGTAAGGGGTGAAAAATCTAAATCAGCCACATGATATTGATGTGTAGATCCATATACTATACATCTTTCGTTGATATCTAAAGACATTATATTTACGATAGCAGCAATAATGGTACCTTGTAGATCGTGCCAATATCCAAAATAATGTGTATATGCCATTCGAGTTTGCTAATGCCAAACTATAGCAATTATATCCTGATGTTCTTTCCTGACATAAAAATAAATCATATGCTTAACCCTAGCTCCCTATCTATTGACCAGCAGCACAAGATTTTTGCATTGAAGTAATAAAATAATGAAAGCAATATAAAGTGTCAAGCCTATGCAATGCACTGCCCCTGCCAAGCACCACAGGGCACCCTGGCAACCGAATGAAGCAGCACCTCTATGTTAGGCCTTCACCTCAAACACACAAGCATTTCTGTGCTTCCATATTTCCCAAGCCACTAGGATGATAAGGGTAGTATGGCCTTCGTGCTCAACTCTGAGAACACCCTTTATAGTGCAACACCACCAGCTGGAGAAATGATTGTTCATTCCCTGAGGAGCAAAAGCTAGCAGGTCCAGTCTCTGCAAAATTAAAGCCCAAGCTTGCCGAGCAAACACACAAGACATGAGGATGTGCTGGACATTTTCCTCTGCCTGATCATAAAGCGGACACGCCACCGGATGAGGAAGCCCGCGCTTAGCAAGACGATCAGCTGTCCAAATGCGCTTCCAAGGTGCGAACCTAACGCTTCTAAGGAAGGAAGCATTGTAAGCCGACTTGCTGCTATACAGCCCCGAATTGGTTGGCCATATGATGTGCATCATTGTATATGATGTGCTGTGCTAATTTGGGCTATAAACCATGGAGAAATCAGGCTCCTCCGTGCGGTCTTTCTGTGCTTTTGTGAAGATTGTGGCAATCTTTGAGACAGGAAATTCTACTTCCAATAATATAGAGCTGGAAGAACTATCAATATTCTGACATCTTGCTTCAGTGGAATGGTTATCAATCAATGAGAAAAATGACTTCCACCTACTACTCATGCTGCTTTCTGCCATCTTCTGTTGATTTCTGCACTGCCTCCATGCGGACTGGATGAGACAGGCTGCCCATGTTTTCCTCTGGTGCGAGTAGAACCAGAATATGTGCTTCAGGTGCTTGGAATGCATCATCTTGAATGTGTTGGCCACAAACTTCAGGTCATCGGCTTGTAGGGAGAATGCCTCAAGCTCTGTGTTTGTTTTCATAGTCCTTGTTGATGACGGATAGCTGTCACCCAAACTGTGAAGTAGTGCCCATGTGACCAACTCGCCACATATATCATCTGGGTTTAAGATGATAGAATTGAAGAAACCCATCCTGCCACCATCTTTTGTGCTGCTCTCTACCTTCACAGGGTCTCCCTC